ATGATAAAAGGGTTTTTTGACAATTTTAGAAATATAAAATCATCTAATTTTTATTTTATCGGGAAATCTTTTTTGCAATCTTAGAAATTTTTGTAGAAGTTTCAACATAAAAGTATTAGAAAATGCGTTTAATCAGCAAAATCTCCATAATTTATTGTCAAAATTTCATAATAATATTATCAATATTGCAATGAGAATAATAAAACTTATCAATTGTATTTAAGATAATAAAGATTGATTCATAAAAATACAAAAGCACATAGAAAGTAAAATTTATCACAATTACATTTTTATTTTTATTTTCATTTTTATGAAAAAAATTATGAAATCTCTCCATGATTCCTAAATTTAGACTAATTATCGCTCACAGAACTATACTAGGGTGATGATAATTAGCCAAGTCATCCAAGTGGTAGGATAACAAAGGCGAATGGAGTCATTCTTACGTCGATCAAATCTTTTGTGTAGGAGTTGATTGGTTGTAGCCCTCTTTCTTCCGACACTGCATGGCACCGGAGATGAAATGAGGGCTTTTGTTTTGACACAATTTATGATTTCTTGAGTCGTGGGGTTGTTTCGTGTCATGTATAGCAAGTATTTTATTGTTGAGAAAATTGTGTAGCTATGGTTAAGATTTTTGGTGATTGCTCCAACTTCCGACCAAACCTCTTGAACATCCCGGCGCAGTTTTCTTTGAATCTGTTGCGTCATTTTTGTGAGCATTTGGTGAAATGCTCACAAAGAGATGGCAAAAGGGAAGAATTATTTTGAGGCTGTAGGGATTAGTGGGCAAGACGAGCGCTTGAAATGGAGCTTTGGCAGCACTAGCAAACACAATTTTGCAGATTTACATGAATCAGAGCTAATGAATATTATTGGACAGGCTGCAACGCGATTACCATTTGCTAGAATTTTTAGGCGATGTTCCAACCGTAGTCACCGGAAAACTCACCGATCAAGTACAATGGAATGGCACCGATGAACAGGCCCATGTAAAGACTTGGGTCAGTTTGGAAGGTCTCGATGGACAACTTGGGTGACTTGTTAATTATCCCAATAATTATACCAAACTGAGGGATAACTACTCGCTTCCAATGATTATTGATTTACTTTTTGCTTGTCTCATCACTTGATTCTTTTGAATGAAAAAAACTAAAATCGATATGCATTATCTTGGTTTCAAGAATGACAAGCTTAAAAGCTTTGTTGCGTCTTTACCATGCTACACTTCAATCTGATATCTATGGTTGAACAAAAAATTAATATCAAATCAATATTTTGATCATTGGGTTAATCACAAACTTGCAAAATTTCTTGTATGAAAAATATTAAATTTTGTTTTATATATGAATATCAGAGATTATTTACATACTACCAGTTTCCTTTGTCTTCTTTTAAATAGTGTGGCTCTCAATGAAGAAAAGATATGTTGAGTAGTTGTAATAATCTGAATGTTCAGTGAATCAATTATTCATACATCATGTAATATATAATTTGCAGTCCTGCCTTATTTTTCTGAATATGCAATAATTATTACTTGTGTTCTAATGATTATATCAATATGAAAGAATATAAAAACCGTAGTTTTAACCGCGAACAGTATAAGAATGCACCCCAAAAAATCCAAAAACTTAAAATGTGTCACACTATAATGAATTATTTTTGTCCATCTACATGGAAAATTTTGTGGATCCACATTTTTCATCCACATCACCGAGAAATGAGGATGAAAATTATTGTGCCGACGAGCACCGGATAGTACCGAGCCGAATTTCTAGACTGAACCGTGGACCGCACCGTAGTGAGGTCCGAACTACAGTAGGCCCGAGCTAGGCGGGAGAATTTGTTACGCAGTTGACGAGAAAGGAGATCCACTTGCTGCGGGAACTGACACTCGAGCGTGACGGGTAATGATGAGCCTGGGCCTGGGGTCATTCTGACAGACTCTGACACAGGTATGGTCATAGCGTCATGGCGGGCGTGGCGGTCTTGGCGGGCGTGGCCCAGTGAGGACCGCGAGAGGCCGACGTGGAAGAGCATTTGTCTGCCACAACTCACAAGCGTGCTCTCGTCCTCTTGCTTCGGTGCTGACGATTCACATTCGATGCCGTCAACCCTGCCCGCCAGGTGGACAGCGCGGGTGAGAGTAGTCGCGCAGCCGGATGGATGGATGAAGCCAGCGCCTCCGAAGGCGTCGTGTCGTCAGCAGACAGCGCCCAGCGCGCCCTAATCATGAGGTGCGACTGCGCTGAGCTCACGGTCGTCGTTTCTTGTCAGGCCATCCTGACTGCCTAGATGGATGGCGTAGGCTCGCGGAGCGTGGTGGCTCTCGCAGTCGGTCCAGGAGTTCCCCACCGTCGTCGTTCGCCTTGAATGCAGCAGGATCTGCATCTGATCTTTCTCTACCTTTGAGGTGAAAAGAGCAGAGCAAGATTTCAAGAAAGAAGAATTTCAAAGGCTCTGACCTTCTCGAGCTCTAATGTGGTCCAGGGATGATGGCTTGTAGCAGGCAGATCGCAGAGAAAGTTGACAGTTCAACACTCATGACCTGTACTCCAGATCATATCTACATTCGCGATTTCTTATTATTGCAGACAGTCAACACGGAAGTGACGAGGTGAGATTCACCCTCTCCATCCCGCCCGCACCAGATTCCGAGCCACCGACGACACAGGCTGCCTCGGGCACCTCCGCCCATGCCAGTCCAGTCTAGCGTATCCTTGGGTCGCTGCTTTGTCGCTTGGATAAGGAGTCTGAGATGGAGCGACGGGATTTGGTGGCGTCTTGGAAAGCCGCTTTTCTGACACCACCGAGCTCGAGGTTCCGGGCCTTTCTCTACAACGGCAACTTCGACGCGAACACGGTTACCGAAATATCTACCTGACACTCCCCTTTCGGTCAAGTACATATACGGTACAGTGCTAGCGCCCCCCCCCCCCCCCCCCCCCCCAACAGGATTATGGTCTGATGGTTGACGAAGTGACGACCTCCTCCCTGTTTTATGTGCCTTGAACACTCGATGATTCTGTCAAGGTTTCTATCTATCTCCCTCTGAGATGCCATCGCCCTGCCTGCCTCCTGTTGTCGTTTCTTACTTTCATGGCCAGAGCTTCGTCATTCGTATCGAAACAGCAAGATGGGGCTGTAATTTCAGACACGTTCTGCATACCGTGCGCTAGGCTTGTCCGAGAACCATGAGGATGCATACTTTTGTTCATAAACCACTTGCACTGGAGATGGAGGAGGAAAACAAGTCAGAACCGGTCAAAAGCTGAATTTGTATAGAATAGGAATTTCTGTTGGGCCCACGTTCACTCGGTTTTGATTCATCTCTCGTGCATTAATCTCTTCTGCATAAAAGCTTTATCACCCCAAATCTTTACCTAAATGTTTTCTAAGCGTAAAGAATACTGATGACAACATCCTCTTGGGTAACCACATTTCTCTCTACTATCCTATATGCTTCAACCTGGATGCGACTTGTGTAACTTGAGCCAGTAACTCGTGCAATGACCTTGTGGAAGTAAATATAAACGCCAGGCCAAATGTTGCGCGAAAATGAACACAAAAGAGGGCGATGAACGATTCCTTCTCCAGCCAACATATCTTCTTGGAAATCCGTCACAGAAACGGTACGAACATTTTTGTGACCTGTTTGTAACCAAATAATAGGTATTATGTTGTATCTTTGTTGGTTGATTTGAAATTTTACATATTTTAATAAACTTATTTTCCAATGAGATTTCTACCAAAAATATATGTAATATAATTGATCATGATATTATTATATTTGAATACATTTTAATTTATAATATTAAATTTTAAATAAGTAGATTATTCTCTTCGAACATGTAAATATATTAAAATAATTTTCTTGTAACACATCAATAATCTTAAAAAAATACCTGATAAACTTTCAATGAACACCTGTAGTTTCACCGCGGCCGAAACCATTCTATCTGCACATAAAAAGCTCTGCCGGTGTTCGTCAGAGTATCGTAAGGGGAAACTTTCACCTGAGATGGGGTCAAACATGCTCAGATGGATGACAGTTCTAGCTTCTTGTCTCTTCTACTACCTCTGTGCATCGATTTCGATGCACAAGAAAGACGTGCTTTAATTCCCAATGAAAAGTGCACTCAGGCCACATTGTATTATTTAAAGGCTCGAACATGACGTAACTGCTGCTTGATATATACCATGCTCAGCATGGGCAAGATTTGACAAGGCCAGGGCTTAATATTCGTCTGAAACCTGAGTACTTTAGTCCAACGATTTTCAGTGAAATTTTTACCTTCACTTTCAGGACAGATTATTTTGAGCGTTGCACTTATACAACATACCTTTCTTCCCTGTACAAACGATAGCTTCTATCTCGGAAGTGTGAGGTGTGATGTAATATGTTGCAAGAGAATATGTAACTGATACACGTGGCTTGCAAACTATATTCTTCATAGTCACAATGTTTAAAGACGATGAAGGATCATCCGGGTACGTCTCGTATGTTCTTAGCCGATTCAGGCACTTTCCAAGCTTTGTTTTGACAACGTAAATGTTGCTCAAAGATAAGACATATTTCCTAGTACTTCCTATTTTCTTTCCTTAGGTTCTGCGGGACTTGCGTAAGATGTTAAGTATATTTGGGGCAGTTGTCTTCCAATGTGAAATAAGTATTAGTCCTTTCCTTTAAAATAGTGCACATTTATTCCATGCCCTACTCAGTAGTTACTAAGAATTTGTGACCTTCAGAAAACACCATTTTCATCGCTGATCCACCACCTTTAACAGTCATTTCCTCTTCACTCCATAGTTCACTTAATATCCTCAAAGTAATCTGCCTCTTACCTTCAGGAGCTGTTAAAATACAACTATTAACTTCAAGACGACCTTTCGCCCTCCCTTGTACCATTTGTTAGTGAGCTGACAGCCAACACGAAAATAAGACCTTTTCAGTCCCATGAGATTATGATACACACATTCAACTGAGAAACGAGACCAGTCACTAAAAGCGAAGGCGGTTAAAAAAGATATGATCGTTACAACACCGTGGCCAAGTAGGATAAGGCGTCGGTGAAGCAAAAAATTTTAATACAGACTATTCCAACAGGACCTTTGACAACAGAAGGGGTGATTGTAAATTCTCCAACAACCAACCAAGGCTCCCAAGTAATACACTTTACAAGCCCATACTTCGCAAAATGGGCAGATATCAAGGGCTTCTGAAGGGGTAATAGTCATGAACCCCGAGATCCCTCAAAATTTTCTGTATCAACAGTATGACAACATACAAAAATATGTGACAACCAACAAAGGATAAGTGTTGTTTCTTCCACACCTTCTCTAGAAATGGTCTACATTGTGCTCTAGCATCTTCGGCAGCATCTTCTCCATATCAAACAACCCCTGCTTTCTCGACTTTGTAGACTGCCTACCCAGTTCCAGAAACCCGAAGTACGCAGCAATGACTAGATAATGCCCTGGAAGAGTTTCATCACAGGCGCGATATTTGAAGTGGAGTATAATCCGCTGCCTCCTCAGCCATCACAGGCTGTTGGAAAAGCTCCAAGTCTCGATTTTGCTCGACAAAACGTCGACAGCACTCCTCTGCTGCCATCACTCCAGTTGCAAAAGCTCCATGAACAGTCCCAGGGAACCTTTGACTGGTAGCTTCACCAGCCCAAAACAGATTGTCGACGGGGGTTCGAAGACGCTCGTACAAATCATGGGGCTTCCCCACAGCGTCATAGCTGTAGCATCCTAACGAGCTCGGGTCCGTGCCCCAATGTGAGACGAGATACCGTATCTGCGACATGCATAAGGACCAACTCATGATGTTAAACGCATACTGAGATACTAGATATCATGACAAAAGGTTTCAGAGCAGCTGGGTCACAGCTTCACTTCCACATACAAAGGAAGAGTTTCCAGGACCCTAAGTGTAAAAGATAATACTATAATTTACCACCCAGTGAGAATCAAATCTGATGTTGATGCAACTGGGATGACACACCAGTTGCATGACTCATTGCTCCTTATACGGGTATGCTTCATCAAGTTTAGTGCATAACCTCACAAAATCTAAATGCAAAAAGCAGCCCTTAAGATGGAATAATTTGACATACCGGCTCGGCAGCGTTGGGGAGAATTCTCTTTAGTTGCATGACAGCGAAGCTGGCGGCAGCCTCATCAGAGAGTTTCTCAATATCGTTGGCTAACCGCCCGGCCGGCATGTAAACAAGGACAGGATGACCGGTGGCTTTGCGCAGGTTCAAAAAATAACTGCAGCCATAAGAAGTAGGTGCTACAACTCCTAAAAATTCCACGTTGGGCCAGCAAACTCTATCAAAAAAGAGAGCAATCTTGTTTTCATTGCCAAATCCCAAATCTTTTATTGATATTTCTTTCCAGTCAGGGAGTCGCGGCTCAAATCGAATGATGTCAGCTTTGAGCACACCCAAAGGTACAGCAATCACGGCGGCATCTGCGTCATATACAGTTCCATCCTCTGTGATAGCTCTGACGCCCTGGACCCGTCGCAGCACTTTCCTTACTCTGTTCAATCAAAGACAAAAACACGTCAGAAGGAAGTAACCACTGCCGGCTCAGAAGAAAGCCAGAAGCAGACAACCAAGAAGAAAGACAGTTATTCAACCAAACAGGGAAGCAGGTTTCTGTTCAGCTCAGGAAACCACCATCAGTATTCTTCAGTTCACAAGCTAACCTGGTGTTTAGACGAATGTCAAGACCCTCAGAAAGAGCCGCTATTACAGGTCCGTAACCTCTCACCATCAACCCATGCCCACCTTGGAGAACTTCTTCCTGTAAAAAAACGAATAAGTGAAATTATTATCTTCCCTGTAAGCCTTTTGGCTATGCCACGAGATGTGAGGAACAGTGAAAAAGACAATTTGGCGGCTGTTCAAGATGACTGCTTATAATAGATTACCTCATCCCAACTTTGAACCGAAATGTTATCAGCGTCAGCAGCAAACCAACCCTCCATTCTGCACAAATACCACTGCAAAACCTTGTATCGCAGCCCCTCTTGCCTGAAATCATCAAAAGCAAACCTCCACAGATTAGAAACTTTAGAGGCGAGGGAGTAAGCGGACTTCGTGAAAAAATATACATCTACTCACAAAAGAGAAGTAAAAAGTCGGCGCAGGCCTCACCTCAAGTCAGGTCTTCTCTCCAAAACAGTAGAGAAGGCTTTCTTCACCGAAATATCAGTTGAAATTTCTTCCCGAATTTTCTTTGTCTGTAAGTAAGGAAGTAGTTAGCATACAGAGGACGCCCGGCTTGCAGGAATGACACGCCACGAACAGAACTCATGGTGTTTAAACTTTTATCGTAACACTCACAAGAGATAATAGAACAAGGACCACAAGTTGCTTACGGGTCTAAGGTGCAGCATATTAAGCCAACTCTTAGTCCTAGAACTCAGATACTTGTTATGTATCGTGTGATAAGCTATACTTTTTCCTCCAAATAGAACGTCAGGCGCTAGAAAATGATGGATTTCGCAGGTTTGATCTTTCTAAGAGGGCCCATGGAGAAATTGACGATGCGTGCGAAAGAACTTACTTCCTCTAGCAGAGCTTCAAATGCAAGTCCAACTTCGGTAACCAGATGTTGAGGAACCTTGTTACCTTCCATATCAAAGAGTGCATAACTGCAAGCACAAGAAGATCGTTAGGCGGATACGGAGGGCTTTGACAAGGAAATGCATCAACGAACCAGAGTAGACGATAATGGATCACCTGTATAAGTGAAATTCGAGAAGAATCAGAGCACAAAATATTACAGAAAGATATACTACGTAACAAGTTTGTTCGAAATGAGAGACAAAATTGATTCTAATTTGTGCAAGACCAGTGTAAAGGCATTGCATTGTATCAGAAGTACCTCAAAGGTCTCAACATGAGTTCGGACAAGGAACTTCGATGCCATCCAAATCACTCTCTACCTATACTAAAAGCTTCAACGAAGCATGAAGAATTGAACAGGAATAAAAAATCTTATTACAAAATAACATTTGTCCACAACGCTAACCGAGCAGCAATCAGAGAAAGCAATTTGTAACGCTTGCCTTTCCAAGTCGTGGTCGTAGAGTACAGAGTTGTCTCCACTGGTACGGTACAAAGGCAACCTCAGCTGACCCACCAGATGCGCCAGAGGATTGCTTTTACAAAGTCCATGCAACCTGCAAAGACCATAGAGTACGTTAAAATCCTGAACCATACTTCATATATGCTAGAAGCTTAACTCTCCTTCAGTACCGTAGATCGGGTACATACTTGGGCATGTCATGAGAAAACAAGGAAGAAGCTTAAAAAGGGACTTAACAGGAGACAGGAAGTGGAACTAACAACAGTGTGGTCACTGTTGTTAGTTCAAACAAAACAAAACACGTTGATGTTCTTACGACCAGCTAGAGCAGGCTCCACCATAAGTAAAGTGAGCCTGCTCTAGCTCACTTTACTTATGGTGATCACAGTTCGGTCCATGAGAAAGTGTTATTATCTGCATTAAGAAACTTACAAATATGGTCTAATTTCGTTCATAAATCTCCTAACAAGTAAATTATGCCAACCTGCTAGCCATGAAAAAATACATCTAAATGTTCTATGAAATTCTTCAGGATAATCTATCAGAAACGAGAATTTCATGAAAGTTCTGTAAATTTTATCTCGTCGGAAGATTGTGACAAGAGCGAGCCACAAGCTATGCAGTTGAATTAAAGAATGCCAAGCGACAACGCAGTGGCATTGATAGCAGAAGGATACACATCAAATTAAGGTCATCAAAGGCGGAGGACTTCACCATGAGGCACCCATGTCCACAGGAAATCCGAAAGAGTGATCAGTGTACACGCGACCTCCCACACGATCCCTCGACTCTAGAACAACAACCTGCGGTAAACAAGTAAACGGGTAAATATGGTTAAACCTGACCAACCGCAGTAAAGAAAGTCAACATGTGGGCAAAAGATTCCTGAAATCCTAGTACTAAACTTGCTGCCCTGGAGTCCAATAACCGTACGCTACCTCTTAGAATGCTTTTCACGTGAGGACTAGGCCTTAGGTTGACGGTTTTGAAACCTCGAAAGCTCGTTATGACTCGACGAACGACTAGATATAGCACGTCAGTATCGTCACTGCCAAAGGTACTGGTGCTACATGTATGATTTGCGTGGAAAAGCGAATCCACAAACCGACGCACAAACACAATTCTGAACGAGTCTGACCTACTGCGACACAATTCGTCGCGTTTTGGAGGTCGCAAACTAGGAACAAGTCAACAAAGACCGCCGTCGCGCACAATGTTTTCAGAGAGGATAACACCAATCTCATAGTAATTTCCGACAATATTTAATGGTACCTCGAGTATCTCACATACATTATAATCTTGCGCGTGACCTGAAAGATGACGACTGACCTTAAAGGACTGAGCCTGAAGGACCCGCGCAGCAGCCAAACCAGCGACTCCAGCTCCAATTACAAGGACTGTGGGTCTCGATCGGCCTCCATGTTTCGATTGACTTGAAGCTGCCGTCAGGAGAGAACAATACAAGGAGGACATAATAAGGAAAATAGAATCAAAGATATCCACATCTCCCACATGAGAATCCTAAGAGAGACCCACAGACTTCATCCTGAAGTGGTCACACGAAGTCGAACAATATAACATAAAATTGAAGCCCGCAGCTAGAGAAAATCACCGTCGGATGACGTTCGGGTTAAGACCACAAAAAAGCCAGCTGATATACCGTCCGTACTTAGTCTACGCAAGTGTGAGACGGTTTCAGACAACAGATATCCATCAGCTCCTACAAGAGCTTGTACATAACGGTGGGGTCTGTAAACGGTCCGGTAATATGAAATTCGTTCTATCAAAATCTCCTCCGATCAAATGAATGTAACGGACGTTTGGCAATGATGTCACGACGGCAAATTATGGTATGTAAAATATTTTCCTCTCACAATTGACATGATCTTGTATCCTCCCGCTAGATCTAGAAAAAACTCGGTAAGTCTACAACCGACAGATGTCCAGAGACAGGAACTTATGTGGCAATACACAGAAACACCACGGACAGGGAAATCAATCAAACCGCAGACGAACAAACAAGAGAACTGCAGCTGTCGAAAAATACGAGTTGGGACCCGAGAACGTACTGAGATCTCTCGAAAGTTGTTCAGTGGGCGCCATAAATGGCGCTGTAGGCACTGAGTAACGCCTTCCAGTTGTGAATATAGAACACGCTAGAGAAACCCGAGAACGCAGCCGAGCTCAGCTTAAGTGGCAGAGGACTTCTGTAGGAAAGTAAAGAAGCACTGGACCCGCAGCACGATGCACAGAGGTGAAGGCCAATTCTTCAGCCACAAACGATATTACTTGAAGGTTTTAACGTCGAAAACCAGGGAGGACTTAGAAATGCGATGGAGCGAGGCCAAAACAATCGCGCCCGGCTCCGGTAGAGTCGAATGACTAGAAAGAAAAAGGGACGGACCGACATACAGGGAGGGATTCAGACAGATGGGGTGACAACCCACTCAGTCCCTTCGCCCGAACGGACGACGGTAGAGTGCAAAGGAAGCAATGTCTCTATCAGGCAATTGCACTCAGATGAAATTGCAACGTCGAAAGCACCGGGAGAGAGGAGCAATTTAGATGAAAGAGCGTTGGGTGGCGGGCATATCAATTGCAGAGTACGGATGTCAAGACGTCGCAAGAGGTACAGCTCCAACGGGGAGGGGGTTTATACGGATGGCCAATTGTCCGTCTCAATTCCAAATCCAGATTTCACACGGCTCTACGCGTCAATTGTCGAGATCGCACTTTCGGTAGCAGCGAAGACTAAGCTCTGTGACCGACGGACAGGCGCGAGAAGGCATTCGAGTGAGATCTGGGCAGAAGGTGCAGGCCGCTGCGGAGATGGGCAGAGTTGCAGAAAAGAGGAGGCCCTCGACAAGCCCGAGCAGATGGAGAGTCGGTCAAGAAAGAGCTGTCAACGGAACCGGCAAGCGTCGCAGAGCAAGATCGTCGACGGGCGAGCGAGAGAGCAGGCCAGAAACACTGAGCGCATGAAAGCAGCGGCGACAATTGGGGAGACAAGACTGAGTGGCCAGGCGAGCTAAATAGATGGATGGCAAGGCGAGAAGGCGAGCAAGGCAAGAGAGCGCCGAGGCCGAGGACGGTGAGCGTAATGATGAACAGTGGAAAGAGCAAAGCAGGCAGAGGAGGCAGCAGCAGCAGCAGCAGCAGCGCGAGTGAGCGAGCGATCGCGTTCTGACTGCGAGCGAGGTGCTGGTGAGTGAACAACGAGGTCAGTAAAACATGCACTGACCCGCAGCAGAGTTTAGAATCAATAGTAGCAGTCGTAATAGTAGAAGGAGAAATCACGGCATCGCCATCTGGGGCCCACGCCGCTTCTCTGCCAGGGGTTTGTTGCGAGAGCAACCAAAATTCCATTTCCACTCCGCCACCCCTCCCCTCCCCTCTACAGACGCGCAGAGGCAGCAGAAGCAAGAACCTCAGAGCGCGCAGAGCGAGCGTCGTGGTAATTCCGACTGATGACCGAATCGTCGAGACGCCACGACGAGGAATGTTCGAGACCTCGCCGGCCCGAACGAACCAACGACACCGGGGCCGCGCTCGTATTCGTACGGTGACCGAAAGCGTCTACCGAGTTGACCAGCGATACGTACGAGTACGTATCAGACAGCAAAGGGTTATGTTAGGTACAGTAGGTTGGAGAGCCCGTGTATGGAAGGTCAGACGTATCGAATACGTACTGCTATCGTATGGTCCAAGTCAATTTGACCGGCCATTTGAGCCTTTCGGTCCGTAACTTATAGTATCTTGCGCTACATGCCAGACAAAGCCAACTTCCCTTGCCCACAAGTCTTCCATGCCTCCCTCTCTCTCCATCTCGATGTCCGCTTCGCAGTCTGCGCTGAGGACACCTCCCCCTGCGCTTCAGTTAACCACCCCCCGGTCCCTTGACAGGTTGACCATCGGCAACTTACGTAGTAGTGGTCGACAACATCAGAGCCCGACCTAAAGCCCTTACGTAGTAGGGCTGTAACGGTTACGATAACGGCTGACCCCCCATGAGGAGCGAGCAAAAGATTTGCCCCTCTCTCTCTCTCTCTCTGTCTCTCTACCATCATCACGACGGATCCCCACGCATTCCCCCCACCCCCGCCCCCACCCCGACGACGCTCCGCGGTAGTTCCCATCCGCGGTATTCTTATTCCTCACCCGATGTGCCCTCTCCTCCCCATAGCAGTCTCATGGTGGTCTAGGGCGTAGACTTGCTATGCCCCGAGCATCATGTCTGAAGTCCGCGGTTCGATCCCCACAGCTTGGCAGGCGTAGGGCGACATAAATCAATATTTTTGCTTGCCTGGCCGAATTACTACGGTTGACAACGATTATTTTCAAGGCAACGGAAGAGACGGACGCCTAGGCACTGTCGCGATTAACTGTCCTCGGGTGTCTGCATCTAAGGGCTCAGCAGTTAGATTGGTACAGTCCTGGACTGTACGCTGCTAAAACTCAAGTATCTGCCTTGTATCATAAGGCCATGCAGTCCTCAGGCTAACACCACGTTGTCTAATATATTCCTCCCAAAAGTGTTTAATATGTCCCCTGGAAACCTTTTGATGTGAAACGTGATCGGAACTTTTCGTGCCATAGAGGCTCTCCGAGCGCTCTCTCGACTATTTGTTGACGGGAATTGCCGAAGTTTCAATTCCCTAAACCTGAGGTGCAAGTTCCCTAATAGTGATTATAGACGAAACCAACTCTTATCGGTTCCAATGACGAGTATTTCTGCGTCACGTATAGAAAACCTTTGGTATGATTGTACTCTTTGTACTTTTTATATGTGGTGCAAACTATGAGCTCAGTCCTCTGGCCGTAACTTGTTAAGAGCAAATTTGATGAAACCGTGAAATATCCATGAGCTTTTGAAAATATATGTTTCGGAGACTGCCACGAAGAAGCAACCGAATTTCTAAGGACAGAAATTCTCATGGAGTACCCATCATTACAGTCAATATGTGCAGAATTTGCATTTCCAAATTCCACAGAATGTGTGTTACTGCTTTTGAAAAATCTTAGAAAAAAATGTTAATTCATAAATGTGAAATGAACAGATGTAAAAACAGACACTTTTACGGCAGTGTTGTATTCTTTGTCGGGTAAGAAAAGGTGTGAGAAGAATAAATGAAAGTGAGTTCAAGGGAAACTACGGATTAAGGAGATAACTTTATAAGATATCTTTCGAATCCCTAATGCACTGAATAGGCATGAAAAGATCTGAAAATAAAAATTAGAAGAATTCAAAGTTGGTCTCACTTACTGCATCAATATTTTGTTCAATAGGACAAAACATAATTAAATTACCTACCTACTATATCAAACATAATTACAAGAGAAACTGATGTTCTGAATTTTACCCCCATGATATACATACTCGACAAAATTGCTTGCTTCAATGCTCAGTGTTCTCTACACCTCCACGTACATACGCGAAGAGAACAATTTTTGTATTGTTCAAGTTGGAGTCAAAAGAATCAAGTTTGTTGTTTATAATTTTCATAAATGTCAACCATCAAGGGTTTGGTAATCCGGGATTCCATTTTTTGAAATTACATATGTGTTAATCCATTTGTATCTTTTGGAGATCAGGTAAAATGGGCTTTCCTACATAACATTATGCACTCAGTGATGAAAATAATTATTCGAATTGCAAGCAATACTGCTTTTTTTTTGCATTTATTAGTCAACGCTAATCTAATTTATACTACATGTATGCATGTAAAATATAATAGCACTATCCTATCAAATGTACATCATACTCATCATGAAACCAGCCGTGTAATCTTGAAAACTGTCATTTATTGTCTGTTGGTGCTTCAGCGCCAAGAATTTATACTGGATATGACTCATATATCAATAGGTATATATTGCACTTTGACTCGTTTCTCTCTTGCAGTCACTTGATATGCATGAGAAGATCAAAATATCGAAAGAGGTATGAAAGCCAAAAAACATCACCCAGAATGAGTGATAATATGCTTGTATACCATGCCGATCTAAGTATCATGGACTAAATGAGAATTTTTTTCGACGAAGTGATAGCGGATGTGCTATCCTAGTGGTGGGTAACGATATCCCAGTATATATGATGAAGATAAACGTGAATGAGAAATTTGGAATTCAGAAATTGTGCGCTTGAGAATCTATAGCTCTTCTCCCTGCCACGTTCATGACCGAAATCTCCTTGATAGAATCTCCGGAAGCTCTCCGTACAGTTTCAATCGCGATGGATGTTCTATGCCTAAGTTGAACCAAACGAGGTCTAATAGTAACCATTCCTCCATAATTAGGATTACCTTTTGTTTGCACTAAATTCATCGTTCTCGTTACAGTATTGCAATTCACGGGAAGCATGGAAGAAATGTACAGCATGACGTCCGACCGTACCTCGGTCATCAAGAAGATGGCCACCGGACACCGGATGACACCGCGAGCAGACCGACGCCTGCCTGTCGGAGGGGGGGGCCGAGGAAGGTCGACGTTTCGTTGCGCGGGGCCGAGCGAAGTAATTGTCGGTACCTTTCCACGACGTTTCCCGGGCCGGGGGAGGGAGGCGACCCGATCTTACGAGCAAAGGGACGGGGCGAGACGCAGCTCGGGCGCTGCTGACGTGGAGCGTGGGAAGGAACCACCACATTGAAGGAGGCCGTCGGAAGAAAGGCGGTTCGGGCCGCTCGTTATATTGTCAGGCGACGAGTTCCGTGATATAAGCGCATGAATGCCGGATTGAATAAAACGATAATCGCATGTCCGTCTCAGCCCATGGTGACATGGCCGCCTTCCTGCTCGCCACGTGCGACCTACCGACCTGGTATCTGCCGTGCCTCGCTGCTAGCTTCCCCGCAAGGCTCGCGCCGGACGGTCCTGGACGCTCGAACGTACGTACATTCTCATGGCGACGGAGTTTCCGAGGTAGGTCGGTCGGTACAGCCCTCGCCCCGGCCGTCAAACCGAGGCGCCCTCGCCCTGCCTCGCCCTCCTCCAGTACAGCACCCTACCCACAGTGGCCTACGGCGACTGTGCGCGCAGTGTGCACCGCGTTGGGGCCGTGAGTCCAACGCAGTAAGCCGCCCGAGGCAACGAGCAGCAGGCGTGCAACGGGGCGATCGAAGGGGAGGCTCGCGCGAGAGAGAAAGCAACGAACGAGCACATGTGGGCATGTGAAGATGGCCCGGCCAAGCCTCGGGCGCTTAGAATGAGCCACCGAAAATATCTTTCGATCCCGGCGAAACCCTTGTCACTTGTTCACTAACTTAAAGCGAAAGCAACGAGGAGGCGTCACTGTTGGCGTGCACTTGTTTATGCGTACATACTTCCAATTTGCGAGTGCGCGCGCAGACATATGCCAATGCCAATGCCGAGGCCCGTGGCCAGAGGATAGAAACGCCTGTGTTCGGGATATGTATTCCGCACGTTTCAAAAGGGGAGTGGGATGCGGCGCCGATGCAGCTTAGCTTGCGGCGATCTTCGTAACCTTGATATTCATCATCACTCTTCGAGATTTGATGGGCTTCATGTGGCTTCATCTGATAAGGGCCAAAAGGATGAAGGCCAGGGCTAACTTCCCCAAGTACATGTAGGTGAGGCTTTTAACGATGCCCGATTTACATTATCGTTAACGCAGCTCCAAGCATCTGATGACATATCTACGCAAGGAGGTTCACTGAACTAGGGACGATTAGGCTTTCTGTCGGTCGACTCGAGTTCTGGTCAGTTTAGTTCCGTTCAGTTCAGTTTGCGTAACTCTCTGGTCGCCACTGGTCTCCCTGGTCTGGTCTTCACGGATCCCTCTAAATGATATAACTCCAAACACTAGTGGCTGGGTCTAGACCTTGAAGACATCGATCGATTTCTGGGGAAATATTAAATCGGGCTTGGACTCGGCTGAGTTTATTTGCTCTTTCATTTAAATATACAGAGGTTTTTCTTTCCGCGCATGGAAAGATGATGGACTACGAAGATCGAAAGCCCTGGGTTTGGATATTTGTACCCCAAATTTGAAAAGCGAGTGAGATGCGGCGAGAATGCAAAAAGCAACATGTTCACTGTTTCAAGGTTAACGCGCTGCATCACTAACTTCCTCCAAAAGGTAGAAGTTACAAGCGATCACGGCTTTCCACAACAGTGCTCCTCTCATCTAACAATGGGCGAAACTGCATTCTTCTATTGTACTGTGGTTTGGACCTAGCTCCATACTACCCATTGGTTTCATCCATCCATGTACGCCTTGACGGGGAGGTCTTCCCATCCTTTCTGATTATTATTACTTAAGGTGGACTCGTTTTGTTTCATCTGTATGAGCATTTTTTTCTCCTCAATATTGGACAGTTACCGAGCAGTCAGCTTTTCCAGAGGTTCCTTACAATAGAGATCTCACGAGTAGAATGGAAGGGAACCACTGATCACGTAGAGAGTGTGAAAGACTGTGCATGAGATGAAGACGACAAGATATGAAGATTGTATCTTTATTTCCTTGTAATTTTTATAGCCAGAAAATTCGTCCTCTCTTTGCATGTTCACAACATGAACATCGAGTAGGATTCTGATTCTGCTTGACTTCAAACCCAGCAAGACATAAGATCCTGAACGTGATAAGTCTCAATACAATCTACAAAACTTGCGAATAAAAACATTGAACCACCAACAAGCTTGCATGATCATAATTGTCGGATGTTTTGAAACTGTGCTTCTGAAAATGAAGCGTAGAAACCAAGAAAGTTTGAAGTCTGTCCAGTCATACGGACAATAATATTGGTATTCCATCTCGCTGAGCTACTTAAGACTGTTGACATATCTGCTTTCATTGAGGGAACATGTTAGAACATGTGAACTACATGAGCGAGAGCAGGTTCGCATGATTTGGCGAGAACTTCTATCATTCTTAGTTATATCGTTCCTATCATTGGATTATAATGGCCATGGTCATGTGGGAACATTCTGGATCTGATTACTCTATGATTTATGAGTTGTGTTGCAACAGGTGTTTCTTTTCTACATCTGTACTCCGTCCTCGCCTTCTTGTTCCATACCCCTGCGAAAGTCAAACAAATTCTGTTGGTTGTGTCCTTTGTCAAAAAGTGTTACAATCAATTCGAAAAGAGAAAACAATCACATGAATCTGAAAGGAGCGGATCATAAATGTTTTAAAGTTCTTTTTGCCTTTTTTTAAGTGATAGCATGTGATGTGGAAGCCTCTATCTGCCTTCTGTACCTTGACTTCAGCTTTGTTAAAACTGAAAAGTAGAAAGTCCATCTTTACGTTTCCTTCTACACGGTAAGATAAGGTGAGCATTACCTAAGGCAAAGAGTTTCTTCCAGGCACGAAGTCAATCACCACAAAGTAAGAAAGGATGATTGACGGACCGAGTTGATGGTACTTTAGACTTTGTTCATATATTAGTTCGTACATCTCATACGTGTCAATTGAAAACAACCATGGCATTGTAAAGAAAGTAGCGTAGTCCTGGTTGGAGGTCTACCTTGATTGAGTCTCTTAGCTTGCTTGTTATGGTCAGTTGTACATCTTTGTAGTATGACCAATTCGTTTTCTCTTTACCTCCCAATAAGTATGAAAAGGTGGATGCTTGCTTGCTTCTTGGGAGACGTTTGATTGTCGAGTAACTGACTAGCTATCTGCTTCATCAAATATCCAACACCTTATCTGCTCTTTTTGTTTTGCATGGACTTCGACCAACAACAACAAAAAAACAAAGGACAACCTTTAAAAGATCTTCGATCTGTTTATCGTTAGTAAATTGAAGGTTTTGGTTCGATGGTCAATTCCCCGAATTTGAAAGATATTAACTCTTCTTATAACGGACAACAACGAACGTTCAAAGTTAGAAGACATTATGGATCGGGCCATGATTGATTGTGAACTGAAGCAGAGCGAACAAAGTACACTCAAAATGATCAGTGATGGTACCAGTTCTCGAGCTTGGACAAACTTGAGATATTCTGTACTACTATCATCTTCCCCTTGCTGCTTGGTGTGATATCAAATGTGCACCTATACAAATATACTGACTATCCTGTAGCCCTATGCGGATTTGAAGGAAAAGTAATAAAAATTCACTACGAGAATTCGATATCTTCACACATTCTAGACATAGTTACGCGAAAAGAAGAAACAGGGAAGATGTCTAGGTGCGCTCAGTTGGTGTCCGAATTGCTAATGTTCCCCATCTCACTCCCACTGTCGTCAAATTGGTGAACTCGGAAGTGTCGGCTGGACGAAAGCTCTTCTGAGGACTACGCCGTTAACAGAGACGAATATTGGGAGCATCGAAACCTTTCTCACCTTGCCGGGTAGCTATGTGAGAGAAAAGACGAACACTGTACAGACCCTTGACCGGGTCTAAGAATCAAAATTATTTGTTGAGCGAACTTTGTATATAGTAGGTACATACTTGATCGAGCTAGTGCCAGTCAACGGCTACACATAACAAGTCATCCTAGTTTATTCAGTTGCAAGTGAAACTTTTGGGTATCAACGTATTGCAGTTGCAAGTTCACACTCTCCCATGTCTTTGCAATTACCTGCGAGCTTATAAGTTTCAGCGTATAGCTCCGGAACAACTCCTACCGAACTTCCGTGGGCCCCTAGGCTGATCTTTGGGGATGAGTAAAACCGATCATATCTAACGATATGGGAGCATGAAAAACAGACTTAGCTAGCAACGAGGCATACAAGCTCAATATGCCGTTGAGTGAACTTGTCTTGTGTTGTTGTTTCTGGTGGCGGTAGTCTTCACGTAGAGCGGCCTCAGGCTTCGTGAAAGAATATCCCTACGTAAGAATAGGCACTTCATGAGTGAGAAGCATTTTGACCGGTTGTGATGGTTCTTCTCAGGAGAAGGAGAAGACGACGAAGAAGAAATGGGCTTGAGACGAGTTGGTTAGGTTCAGACAGGCAATCGCTACAATTGGAGGATTAGAAGTCAAGAAGGAAAAGAGGAGAGCCGAATGGTCGATTCTCCAATATCATTCGATAAAAACGGAGTGGAGAATCTGTCTGACGAAGCACAAATTCATAATGAGGGGAAAAGTCTCTCGCTTGTCAAAGTGCAGATGGCCGGCAGCAACTACTCTTGGAGAGCAGTTACTGCGTAGATTGGCCAAAAAAAGACAGGCCCATGTGGGAATGGACATGCAAACAAAAGGCTTGCAAGTCAATTGTCCTAAAAGGGGATGGATGCTGATTGTAGAATGACGCAGCAGCATCAATCAAAATTATAGCGACATGGAATTCCGTTTTCCAGGGAGGGAAGGAAAGGGCCAGACCGCCTACCTTTCAAGCGGAGCCGAGTGCACAATACATGAGCGTTGAGCTCTACCTCCTAGCCCAGTTACCTACTTGACTGAATCGACCGACCATCCAACCGTACCGGCGCCCGGAGTCTCCAAGTCTCATGATTTATTGAACGATCCGATAACTTAATCTACAGGGCCGACCGTGAGAGTTTGCACTGCCTTCTCTTTCGAGATAAACAAAGAAGTAGACTTTAGACTCTTGTGTGGGCTGACCATTGTGTGCTTGCACGGCCTAAACATTGTGCAGACAGAAGAAAGAAAAAAGTGGAAAAGCCGGGCTCGTGGAACTAAGTGCATGGGGAGGAGAGATGGAGGGAGAGAAGATGTATTTAGGGCGTAGTTTCTGCAATAGCCTATTTAAAGAGACCCAGACCCCTAATTGGGCGGTGGAGGTTTTAAGGGTATTAACGGAGAGAGAGAGAGAGAGAGAGAGAGAGAAAGAAAGAAAGAAAGAAAGAAATAAAGAAGCTGCAGTATGTTGAGACAAACAGACAGAAGGGCAAAAAGTGGAGGAGCTACTCGGTTTGTGGAAATTTGTGCATGGCAGTTCTGATACTCCTGCCGATCCTGCATACTTAGCCAAATACCTATGATGCGTAGACCGTACTTTCGAGCGGAAAAGATAGGGAGAGATGGAGAGAAGGGAGTTGGCATGGCTGGCAAGCACAGGCGGTAAGAAAATCCAGGCCGCATGGAGGGCATTTGCATGAGGCATGCTGAGGGTGTATATGAGAGCGTATGACCACTCCCACCTGAGTCATTTGCGCACGCGCGAACCACGTGGTTCGGGTAACAGTCCATATATCCATCTGTGCCCCCACTCTCTTGGAATTCAGATCTTCGTTTTCATCTCGATGGCGGAGCGGGCCCTTACTCAGACTTCGTGGGATATCATGAACAGTGCTTTCTCGCTCTCACACCTCATGTATGGCATCATCCACACCGGCCCCGCGGAACTAACTGGGTGACACCTTCTGCCCTTTTTCAGTTTAAATTCGTTCTTTATGAGATCGCTGCGCTCGTCGCGTCGCACTCTAGGAGCGAGGATCAATTGCAGTAGGGCCGCGTACTGCTTAATATTGGCCCCAAAGCCATCTGCAGGTGGTTGTCTTTGTCCTTGTTGTTGTGCCAACTATATACCTGTGCTCCACTTCCTTTCCTCTTGTGCAGAATTCAGAATTCGGGGCCTGAACTACTGACAACTGGAGCATCTAGCCATCTGCTACGTTATGCTTTGCAGTGCAGGTAGTGAGCTTTGTCCCCACTTCCTTTCCCGATCCAGTCCGATGGATGGAGAATTATTTGACATTGGACAAGGTCCCCGACCCCAACGCAGCTGACAGCGCTCTGGTGCGACTGCTTGACAAGACATATGGTGCGGCTCTAGGACTGACGAGTAGTTGTGGCGATTGTAGGACTTGAGCTCTTCCAACTTCAAAGCTAGCACAGTAAGTGAGCGAGCGAATGGAAGAATGGCTTCTTTTTCTCGCAATCAGAGTCTCCTTTCCCGTCCTCTTTCTTTCCCGCTTTGAATTCCAATCTCGCAGCTGTAATGAGTGGGAGTGACGTCCCGCGAAGAAGCTACAGAGTAAAGCTGGCCACGGACAGAATCCAGAGCGAGCCTCGTCCTACCGACCACCTTATGATCTGACTTTGCATCGATTCTGTCACAGCCCAACACACTCATCCGCGCACGTCGTCGTCGGTCTCCTCTCCAAAGGGGCGCTTCATTCCTCGTCGCCTCGCCTCGGCCCGGACCGTGCTCGTGCTCATGCTCGCGCTCCGTCGGAATTGATGGCCACCCCGGCCGATAATTGTGCTCCAGCTGCAGCCGCTGCTGCTTTGAATTTCGAATTCCCGCATGGGCAGCGCCAATGGGGCGCGCCCGCGCTCGAGGGACGTTGAGCAAACCCCATCGTTAACCCCAAGTGCAAAAGCCAAGCCAAACCAAGCGAAAGGCGAAAGCGAAAAATAAAGGAGTTCGGAAAGAGAGCCCAGCCGAGCCGGACAATGCCCACAGTTTCTCCCTTACTGTTCTGAGATGGTGACTGTTGTGATCTGATTTGGAACGGAAAGTGAAGAAAGAGAATGTTATTAACTGCAGTAGCTCCTGTATGCCGTGGGCACTTGTGGTGGCTGAGTGGTCACAACCCAATTCGCCCACACAATTGTGGTTACGGTACTGTGCATGTTCTGGAATTCTTGGGTCCCACACGCTGTACCACTCGCAATTGTTATGCAGATAGCACTCCCCTCCCCTCCCCTCCCCTCCCCTCTGATAAGTTAAAACAAAGCTTGTATGCTCAAGCCAGAGTTCGAGTTGGCACGTTTGTTATTTTCTCTCATTTGCAGCACATGACTTGGACGAATGTACTCTTCCACTTTCCATATATTCCTATTTTACTCGGTGCTCTCGTCGCTTTCCATAGTTTAGGCTCTAGGGACTCCATAGTTCAGCCCAGATTCGTTTTTACCCGATCATAGCCTAGTACGAAATGTGCAATCATTCATAAATAGGTTGAAGTACTATCCTTGCTAATGCAATCATATTTAGCTCAAGCTACGCCCATGTCAATTACGTCTTTTGATTGTTGAAGATTATGAAAAAAAATGGATTGTTGCATGATAAAAAACATCTCATTTTTTTAGCATATAAGATTCTTCCGCAATCTACTCAAGTGCAAGTTTGAATAAAGTTTAAGGTTGTTACAAACTTTCTCTCGATTTCATTGAAGGAATTGCTTTTGCAAGGGTAAAAACATGATAACTTCTAATTTTTTGTGTACATGTGGCTATAATATTCCAAATATGAATCATTGCTTATCCAAAACAATCATTTTAAAAAAATTATTCTGCGACCAAGACAATTGAAAATTATAAGTAAAATCACTTGCAGAAATCTTTTGTAGATTACTACAAGCGGAAAGACGGTCTATATTTCAAACAAGCAATATGATTAAAAAGTGGAATAGGTTAAATAAAAGAAACAGGTGATCTTAAAATAATTGTTCGACTCAATTATCAATTTTTCCACTCCAAAATTAGAAAAAAATATGTGTGTGCCATTTCTTCGTCTTTATTATATTCATACTTGCATTAAACACAATACTTTGTAAAGCAATGTTTAATGATTATAATCTTATTCTATCTTTTTTATCAATTTTTTACTTTGTTTATGAACAAAGTTTTTAATTTTTGGAATTCAACATAAATTTTCATTGAATCCTTGATTTTTAATGTAAAAACTTGAACTTGTATCGAAAATAAGTATTGGAAGTATTGCATGTACATGCGACGATTAAATATCCTGCACTTCTGACTAATTATCCCTCATTCACTATATGCTTAAATGTGATTGGTCGATGCAGGTGAATCGTTGCTACTTCTAAAGCAAGATGTTCTTTCTGAGTTGGTGAGTTTTCCTATATGGCGGGGAAATTTTCAACCCACAAGATCTTGCAAGTAATGATGGCACACTCGTGAATAGTTTACATGTTAATGTAGCTCCAAGAAGTGTTAGGCAGTTACGCAAACGTTTGCCTTTGGCCTTTGCATTCAATATCAGACTAAAGTTAACAATTCAGGCTGAAGTATTAGGTGTCTAGTTGTTGCATGACACACAATAGTCAACTCGGCTTTTACAAATCATAGTAGGTCTATAGTCAAACAACGGACATGGATGTGATTGAAGCTATCAAACACATTGCTCTCTTCCAAGAATTGTTGAAATTTAACTATGTTAAATTTCACATTTTTTCACACAATTCACATTTTTCCGAGAATTGGACTAGGAAGTCAACGCTAATCATGACCAATTCCCATTTCATTCTCATACTAACGCTAGAACATCGATGAATCATGCTCAATGCTTGCATCATGACTAGAAGTTTCCTCACCAGACTGTGATGATGTCTCCAACCGATCCTTGCATACTTCATGCTCGTAATCTTTCTTCACGGTTGCATACGCGTCTCCATATGTTGTTCTTGTTGTTTTCTTTCCAAACATATTCATGTTAGAAACACGTATGCTTCTAGGAACTTCTACCAAGTTCAGATCTTTCCGATAATTGAGCCAAGTACGCATCTTAGAAGCACGTATGCTTGTAGGAATTTCTACCAAGTTCAGATCTTTCTGAATATTGAGCCAAGTTCGCGGCTTTGACGTGTCGTGGCAGGAGTGTCTATGACATGACATATGCCACAAAGATGACTTTGACGCAGAGGGGAAAGAAAGAAAACCCGCCAATTCAAGAATAATACCCTATTTTAGAAGTAGCAAAGTTTCATCCCCACAAAACCTATAATACTCCATCTACCAATCACAAAAGAGCGTATGATAGGGTGAGGTATAATTAGCTAGAAGTGAATTACTAGCCGCATGCAAGTAATTCATTTTTTTTGTAATAATATTGTTGAAATTTTATTATGTGCCCATATTTTTATAAGTTTAGTTTTCAAGCAAATAAGTATGAATTCACAAATAACAGAAATGTATCAATTAAATCAAATCCAAGAATTGTTTTCTTTCCCACCAATCTAAAATATATGGTTTTTTTAACATTATATTCTAAAATCTAAAATATGATAATATCAAAAAATTGATGATCATGATATTGTATATTTGTAGCACAAGTATGAATACTAATCATAAAAAAATGAGATTTCAGTATGATATAAAAAACTGTAAAAAACTCTATTGGTAAAATTTTAAATTAAAAAATATTTAAACTATAAAAAATTTCTTAAAATTTAAAGATGAATATTCTAATAATTTAATGATCAATATTCAAAAAATATTTTGATTGAAAAAAAAACATAATTTATAGAATCAAGAAATATTTTAAATGCTATTCATATAATTTTCAATGAAAAAATTGGCTATTATACATCAAATTTGATAAAAATGATTGTTTATGCTTAGTTTTTTAATCACTTTTTGCAATTAAAATGATATAAAGCATCATTAAAAAAACCAATATTTTTCCAAAAAAAACACTTTTAAAACAAAAACAAAAGAACGAATTTTTTGGATGCTTTTATCATTTAAAATTATCTTGAGATTGATACATAGTCTTTTGTTTTTAAAAAAAAGAGAGTTGAGCTAGAAAGAAGATGAACATTGTTGCAAGATCTTGTTACTATTTGATAGATTATTATAGAATATTTTAATGAAAATAAAGATAAGACTTAACATATTGATTACAAAAATTGAAAATTACATATAATATATTTTTCTATAATTTTTCTAAATGCGGATATACTTGTAACTATAAATTTTCAATATTTCATATAAGAAATATATATTGAGTTATTGAAAAAAGTACTCTGTGGAAAAATTGTATTTTATATGCATATATATCATTCATGAAAAAGTAAACCAAAATAAATATGAATTGAATTTATAACAAAAAAATTTAAAATTTTTTATTGCCTTTGATAATTTTTAATTTATTAAGAGATTGATATTGTACAACTAGTATATAATATACTCGTCAAATTTTTTCTTGAAACTAAATGAAATTTATCTATAATTTATTATTTTCATGTTAACTAGAGATTCACATCGTTACTTTCAAGCCAAATTATTAAAATTTCAAGTTCAAAATTTAAGCATATTGATAATTTCAGGTCACATAAAAAATAACAATATCTGAATTTTCAAAATTTAGCTGTAATAAATCTGTGTGGTTGATTATATAATGTGAAAGTCATGTGGAAGTAAGTGAAACATAAACCTCATCAATTCACTTAAAAAATCAAGTTTTAATTAAAAATGTTCTAACTTATCATAAACAAACATTTTATGAAATAATACTTACCAAAATTTCAATCAAGAAAAATGTATTATAGACTTTTGTGCAAAGAGAGTATAATAGTAAAATTTGAGTTTTTTCAAGTGATTTAATATTGATGTGATAGATATTATGTAAAAATAAAACTCTTTTATGTATACAACTTTCATTCTCAAAATCACAAGTTATGTACAATCCATATGAAAAGTAACTTCATTGATATAAACCGTTATAAACAAATGTTATGATAGATAGATAGATCTATACATATATATACATATACATATTCTATTTTAACATATAGAAAATATACATTTTATTCTATGAAAATATTTATAGAAAATATTACTTAGTAATACATGTCATGAGAATTAATCACTAATACATCAAATTTATTCACTATGAGCTCATTGATTGCGTTTTCTATGCATTTAACATGTATAATCAATTACTTATAGTTAATATTACTCTAATTCGATTTGAAGTTTTTTCTTCCTAGCAATATAGTTCATTTTTTTCTCCAACAAATTCTAGAATTTCTATGTTATTGGTGAGTTATTGGATGGATATGTGTGTAGCTGGGAACTCTTTCACCTCACGATTTTGTTCAAATGCTGAATAACAGACATGGAATTTAACCTATTTACGTGTGAGACGATTTATTTTCTAATAAGAACGAGCAACCCATCTGTTGCAGTCCGTGATTAAACCAATGAAGATTAGATCCTGATGGATTAATTAGAAAACTTTACCACCAGAAGATGTAAAAATCCCATCAGTCAACAAACAATTGTAACACCCATAATGGAGAAGAAGTCGGAATGATTTATTCACTCCAAAGTGGTACAATAGTTAAAATATGGTGGTAGGCATTTGTATAGGTATAAAAGGTGTGTGATATGCACTCATGTGTATATGATTGATGTATAAGGTGAATTAGTGGGCATCACATTCATCAAGGAAGAGTGTACGAATGTAAATAGGTAACATGTATTGAGGGTTATGGATCAAAATAATTACACATCAGCATATTATGGTAACATAAAATCGTAACACCAAGTGTAGGTTCAAAAGCTCCCAGCTCCAAAAAATCACTAAACCGACTGGAATAGATTCTCTGCACATCGAAAGTCCAAATTGGTGAATCCAAAATAATTACTATTATTATAGACACCATACTTTCC